CTAATATCGAAATTATGTCCCATGGATATCCTTCGGGACATTCGCAGGACGTCCATAGGACGTTCGAATTTGGTACCGTGGACGTTCCACTTGAGGACCAACTAGGGACATCCTTGAGGGATGTCCCTGGGACAACTATCGAATACCTAATTCCTACAGTATTCCTCATCAAGCACTACGGAAAACATCCTTAGGACATTTGTAGGACATTTGTAGGATAATCTATCAGCAACGCTGAGGGATATCAATTGGATGTCCATAGGATGTCACAGGGACGTACAAATAATTCTCGGATTCGAATTTTTCTGGGTCCCTTAAGGACCAGATCTTGCATAACTGATGAGGACATCCAGTTGAGTTGATGATGAAGGATGTCCAATGGACTTACATGGAGGACATTGTCGGGGAGTATTTATAGTCGACGAGCAATCATTCGTCGTCGAGGTGTAAGTTAACGTCCTCGCAGGGACAACATTTCGAAAGTACCGACTGGGACGTCCGTAGGACGTTATTTTTAGAACATTGGATAAGTACAGGTCATGTCCCAATTGGGACATCCGATGGATATCCCTAAGGGACATTCGAAGGATGTCCCTAAGAGACATTTCGATTGTTATACGATCCTAGAAATATTGAGGGCGTCTGTGCAGATATATTTGAAGGAATGTATCATCAGGGACATTTCATGGTTGTCAAGAAGGGACATTATATGAGATCTGAAGTCATGCCGGAATGAGTACTACTCGCAACATCCGATGGATGTCCCCAAAGGAACATTTAAAATCATATACCATCAGGGACATGCCATGGACGTCCTTGCAAGGACATTGCATGAGATGTACGGGATGGGACGTCCCAAGGACACTTATTTCTGGTCCAGGACATTCGGACTTGAATTGTACCAAATATGGACGTCCCTAGGACGTTGTGTGCTATTAGGGACACTCATGAATGGCATGATATTTCTACACGCTCTGTTCAAATTAATTGTACAAAATAAGGAATGAATGTAAGTTCACATTGTTACTACTGATATGTACAGGGTGTTTAATTTTTTTGTAGCAGGACTTCAACAGCTTGAAGGAGACATTTTTTCAAGATGAAAATCTCAAACAATAATATATGCGTATGAGCTTCGTTTCCGATTTACAGAGTGTCAAAGTTTCAGATTTTTTAAATGTATTTTCAATTTTCTCCTACAATTTTCAGAATAATTGATTGAAATTTGGACCACCTAATACACTTCAAAAACCCAATATTTGAGGCTATTCAGCGTTTTTGAATACCTACAGGTTGATAGACTTTCAGGGGTCGTACCCAATTTAACCCTGTAGAACTTTTTTGCGTGCCGCCTTTGCTTTCAATGGGACAAAGATTCAGATTGCCTCTGCAATTTGGAAACTTTTTGCCCCTATATGTGAATTTTCCAAAAACTGTATGGATCTCGAGATAAATGCCAAGAATAAATTACTTGTAATAAAACCGTTATTTCTCAAACACTCTTATTTGACATTTCTTAAACATTTACTGGAAGTCTATCACCCTGTAGGTATTCAAAAACGCAGAAAAGCCTCAAATATTGAGTTTGGAAGTGTATTAGGTGTACCAAATCTCAATCAATTATTCCGAAAATTGTAGGAAAAAATTGAAAACATAAAAAAAAATCTTAAACTTTGACACCCTGTGAATCGGAAACGAAGCTCCTACGCCTATATGTTTGTATAAGATTTTCATCTTAAAAAAATGTCTTCTTCAAGCTTTTGAAGTCCTGCTACAAAAAACTGAAACACCCTGTATAAAGAAAGGAAAATACTTCATCTGATTCAGTTCAAATTCGATTTTTATGTACCTCTGTGAATAACAAGTATTTTTTCATTTGTTTTGTATTTGTGTTGTTCATTTTCACTATTCGTTGCTGTTTTTCATGTACTCATATCTCATAAGTACCTACGTAACTGTATTTTGTGATATTTGTGAGTAATTTTGAATTGAGAAATAGGAATATGATTATTTTTGTATGAGAATGGTTGTATTGTTTGTTTTTATTTTGTTGAAAACGAGTTAGGTACTTTACTGTTTACTAAAAGTACACAATTTTTGACGTCATAGGTTTATTTCATCACCCTTTCTTGGAATCAGTATAGCATAGAATAGAGATCTTAACGAGATCTATTGAAATTTTGTGATTTTTTGTCAAGGTATTCACTGATGGCATGAACATCAAACTGGCAACCCTGGTCCGTGCAGAAAGTGAGTTGACAACAACTGTCATTTGCTGTTGTCAAATTGCTTATTCACGAAACTCGATAGATTTTACTTGATTTCACGTATGAATAGGACCATGATGTGAATATAAGTGTTCGAGGTGGACGAAACAATGTAATATAAACCTCGGCGAAAAACTGTTTATTGTCTCACCTGATTGCTAGCCTCGGCAATGGCATCGGCTATCAATGTTCAGACTCGACTTTAATAGACAGTATTTTGTCCTTGGTACATAATATATAACTATTCCAGAAAAAAGTATGTTCTTCTGTTATGTGCGCCTAATTGCGAATAGCCTTGACCACATTTAATTTATCCACGAGGTAAATTGAAAGAACAATTCAAATCCAAATTTTTTTCTGAAAAATTACATTCGACATTGAGGTTGCTCTTGTTTTGACCTGTTGAACTTTTATATGTGGAAATATATAGGGTGTTCCATTTGAAAAAACAAAGTTGCCATATTGGGTTGTAATGTGAATAAATCCATAATGGTGGTTTATATAACTGTACCAAATTTTTGAGAAATCAGTTCACGAATGCAGAAGTTATAGGGGTGGCCCAATACCCTGTGTCATCCTGTATATACGAAGCGTAGTTGAAATTGTTGCATTTTAGGGACCCCCTTGTATCTTAGCTATCTTTCAACTCATAGAAACTGCCTTCTACATATTTTTTCACGTTGAATCCAGTGGCGTAGTCAGGCTATCGGAATGAGTTGTATTATTCAGATATAACCCAAAGTTATTGGTTCTCAAACAAAACACTCTCTATATTTTTTATATGTTCAAAACATTGATGCTTTGCCCTTTTCAAAAATACATAACACTTTCACGATATTTTGAGTATTTGTCTTGTGATATGAACACTTTCAGTTTCCCAGTATATTTAGGTTTGTTAATGATGGGCCTTGCAAATAAGTATGTGGCAACATTTTCCATATCACAAATTTTCATATTTACCTATAGTTGCTGACACATAGTGTTTCATGCTAGATCTCATAACTAAGAGATCCAGGATGAACAGACGAGATAGTGTTTCGTCGAACTTATTCCCAACATTCATTATTTTCCAATATTAAGCACTACTAATTGACTTGGTACATGTAGAAGCTGATGTGGGCCTAATTAGTAGGTTGCTATGAAAAAAAAAGCGAATGAAGAATGTTTCATAATTCTTGTCCCTTGCCTATGGAAGTTTTCATACAATGGAGAATAATAATCCAGGATAACAAAATTAAGAAACTTTGAAAACCAACTGTTATCTCCACATTCTCACCTAATTTTTCGTAGTTTTCTTATCCTGGATTATTATTCGCAATTTTATGAAAAATCCATAAACATCGATCGACAGGTAGGTGACAAGAAATTATAAAACATTCTGCAGCCTCCTTTTTTTCATTGCCCACCTACTTCTTAAGTCAATATATAAAAAAGTGCTGAAAACTACTATAGAAACTGGAAATAATCTAAATACAAGGCTATTACTTAAGATATCGTATAAGTATTCTTGAAAAGCGATTTACCTAAATAATAACAGCTCATTCTGAAAACCTGACTACGCCACTGAATCAGGGACTTCGATATTTTTTTTTCTTGAGGGGAAGAATGGCTTTTTTGTAATAGAAAAAATCATGTAATAGAAAACCATGAATAGTATACAGTGGAGACGTAAAAAGTCCTCTCCCCCATAACTTTTTGAACGGGATAAGCCAGCGAGTTCTAGTAAAATTCAGGTAAAAAAAACCGTTTTTTTTCTCGGTCTATAAGTGAACGGTAACCATTTCGAGCATTTCCTAGCACTTTTTACAATTGTAACTTTTGGATTTGGAAGTTATTTTGGTTTTCATTTATTTTTGGAATATATGAAGCAAACTTCAAAAGCTTGTCAGTTTGAATCGTCGAATTAAAAAATCTAACTGGACAATTTTCTAGAAGAAAAAGGCCAATCAAATCAAGAAGAAGAAAAAATCTAACCTCAAAAAATTATTTATAAAACAACAAACCGTGTAACTAGCGCCCTCTACGAGAGTTAGATATAAAAACGAATTCATGCGATTTGTCAGCTTTCAAAACACATCCATACAAAATGTCATTACAATGTTGATAGTAGTTTAGGCATAATCGTGAAAAATGTGTGAAAAATAATTTTTTCAACACCTTATTATCTTGAAAATAAATGCCGTTACGACATTTTTTTACTGAGTAAATTCAACTTGTTTCGCAGTGTTCTACCTTCTCAGCAAGGAAATCAGGTTTTTTCGAAACACCCTGTATATTTTCTAGGTACTTACAATTATGATTGACGTTGTTCCGAAACTGCAGTTATAAAGGGCTTTTGGCTTTTGAATATTATTTTATGGTGGACCGACTACGAGTTATTGTATTTTTTCTATTTTGAAAACAATTGAACCAGATATAGACAGTTACCTACCCAACAGGAACCTGGATATTTTTGAAATTAGGAAATATTCAATTCATAAGATATCTTTAATATTATTAAACTAAGCATCAGACTCCATTCGAATATATACCGAATAAGCATGTACATACATCAATAGATTTTACTAACTAAAATATATATATATTTTCAAGACATTAAGAGGTACCTAAACTAAGTGAGTACTCACATTCCAACTAAAAACTACGGATCATTTTATTCCTAAAGTTAAATTAAATCAGTCAGGTGATGTGGTGAGCAAAATTCCTATCTAAAAATGAATATGAACAATTATTACTAAAACTATTTATTGTATATAATATAACAGTGCAAATATTACACAGGATCACAGATAAATTCGTATTATTCCATCAGCAAATAATACTCTTAATCGCAGGTCTTGATAAGAGGATGAACAGCCATGGAAGGTCCAAGACATCCATCAGTATTACAAACATAATCATGGAAGTTGCTCTCAATAGCCCACATAAGTTTCTTGTATCCTGCAACAACTTGGGTGGCAAGTCTGCAGTCATCACCCTTCTGGACCAGAAGGAAGTTCTCTTGCTTGAAGGCAGTTTCACTGTTCCAGATGAAAATATCAGATTCACCTTTATATCTGAAGAACAGGGCAGCGCCGTTGTCAGTACCCAGAAGTACGATTTTACCGTGACAGGGCTTGCAACCGACGTCGATAACTGCACCGTTGGCTTGGCCCTTCTGCAAGAACTCGGCCTTGATGGAGAACAGCCTTGGGCAGGACAAGTAGCTGAAGTAGAGGACGTTACCGCAGGGTTTCCTGGCTAATGCGACGTAGAGAACGTCTTTCACTCCACAGGAACCTCCGCTGACTGCTGCTGGGAGAACAATGCGGAAGCCGGTTCCTAGTTGGAGATCCAGGACGATGATGGCACCGGAACCACCGTCAGCAATGTAGGCGAACGGACGACCGTCCTTGGAGTAGTCGATGACGATGTATTGCAGGCGGCTTTCAGGGGTGACGAAGGACTCCAAGTTGATGACTTTGACGACCAATCCAGTTTTCAGGTTGATTCCTACTACTTTGGGGCAACAACGGCGCACTGGCTGTTCCAAGGTGTTGACCAGACCGATGTCCAACACCCAGAGGTGATCCATGGGATCGATGGCCAAGTCGACGACGTTCTGGAAGGCTTCGCAGTTGCCTTCTTCTTGCAGAGGCCAGCAAGGGTATGGGATCAAGGTAGCTTTGCATCCTCTCGTTTTCAGACAGAATTTGGCTAGGGTGAATGGCACACCGTGTTTGTATCTTGGGAGGGCTACGAAAGCCTCATCTTTGTAGATCTGCATTCTGGTGGCGATGACATTTTTGGCGACGTAACGGCCGGTGGTTTTGTAGATGTTTTTGGTGCTTTCACATGGGAAGGCCAATTCGGTACCTGTCAGTTTGAAGCTGAGGTCTGGGATGATGTTTCTGGTGCAGCCTCCATAAGCTCCGATAACCAGAAATGTGGAGAGGAATAGTACCGAATAAAGACCCATGTTGACCTGCAAATGATTTATTTTTATACTTTTTCACTCACTATCAATAAAACCCAATTATTCATTCGAAATCTACTTCACTTATCATACCCATTGAATAAATATTGGAACTATACAGTCCGATGCAAATATATGGAATGAATCCATTATTTTAAAAATAGGAGATTTTTCAAAAACATGCAGAACTCGTGAGTTTTGATTTTTGAAGCATGATTTCATTATATACTCGAAAGATTGTTCACATCATCAGTGTTGGTGTAATGACCTAATCGACGTTTTTTTTTAATACAAATATGCAGGGGCCATGTGACACCTCATTCGAAAGGTCTACTAATAGTCTATCCAACAGTATAATTATTTGAATGTTTATACAGGGCGAATTCATTAAAATACAATGAAATTATAATGAATGTTTGAATTGACGACCTTCAGCAATGATGCAATGTGAAAGCTGGACTGTGAATAATTCTTCTCAAGCGTTTTCGAGAATTTCGGAGCTAATTTGTGCAGAGATATGATTGAAGTATGATTTAGTTAGTAATTTCAATCTCCTGAATATATAATTTGGGTTGACCCTGTTTACACATTGAAAATTCATTACTATTGAAAAGATGATCAGTAGACGTTTTGAATAAGGGGTCACATAATAGTTATTTATGAAATAAGGATCATAAAGACGATCATTATGGTACAAGTCGTGAATGTTATCGGGCGAGGCGTAGCCGAGTCCGATAACACGGCGTGTGCCATAATGATTGTTTATGATTCGTATTAAATACAAAATTTTATCTGATGGCATTTAGATCAATACATTTTCGAAAAATTAAAAACTGCATTTTCGACATGTCACAATGACAACTATTTTTAAAGGAGTACGTATTGTGTAGTTTCAAATATTAGTAGGTGAGTGAGCTGTGCTTTGCCATAATATTAATATTACAAATTGTAGTAATTGTTCTTTTACCATTTATAATAAATAGTTTTGTACATAGTTATGCATTTTGAATAAACTTTTTTGATCAAACCATTACATGTTTTCCTTATAGAATTTCATTATGGTACTTAGTACCATAATGAATTCATTATGGTACTTAGTCCCATAATGAATTCATTATGGTACTTATATAGTCCCATAATGAGCTTCCTCATGTCATCAAAATTGAGTGACATAACGTTGTCATTATGACATGCCATCAGATAAACGCTTTTTATATTAAAAAAATCTCAAGTAAGTTATTACGGCAACACCGGTGATGTAACCTCTCTATATGAGATGGAACTTTAAAATTCAAACCTTTCTGAATGTTTTTGAATAGTCGCCTATTTTTTTGATAACGAATTCATTCTATACATTTGCATCATACTGTAGGGTGACACAGAAGACATGTAGCAGCCTGTAGTTTTTCAATTTGAAGAGAGTAAATTTTGAAATTCACAGGGGGTATATAATTAATGGTAGCGCACTTTACGAACTCAACGACAATTTTTTTCAACCACCTGTTTGACCGGAAGTGACTCCAACTTTTTTTCAAGTGACTCCAACTTTTTTTTAAATGTCACCCTGTACATTCCTTCAGCCTATCTTTTTCGCCTTGAAATTCTCCATCCAACCATGTATCACAAAGTAGCATTTATTCCTTAATTCGCTGTTGAATTGCTTTTTATTCAAAAAGAAGTTGGTTGAGAGACGGAAAATGTATTCAAGAAACGGAAAAGTCGATATTTTGTTCATATGCAATTTCAATCAACACACAAATGAAGAAGAAAAATTATTGATGCAATAAAGCCTACTAAGTGAAATGATTATGAAAAAATAGACTGATAGCCCTGTGGATCATCGTATAAGAGGAACAATCTTAGTTTTATTATTCCAAATAGAAAGATCATGTGATAGGTACAAGGCGAAAATAAAAGACAGATATATAGGTTCTTTGCGAGTAGTAGAATTCGAAAAAATATGTTCCCATCTTAGATTCCTCAATATCATGAGTTATTTTCGAAGGTTTTCATCTTGACTCAAACAAGCTATTGACAACCTGCAGACATTGATCAGAATATCAAAACATTTTGAATATCTGTTTACTAATGATATTTAAATTTCGAAGCCTACCAAGTGTCGATATATCATCGAATTCATGTCACAGCCAACTTATTCTTTTTGAATAAAAAGCAATTCAACAGCGAATTGAGGAATAAATGTCACTTTGTGATACATGGTTGGATAGAGAATTTCAAGGCAAAAAAGATAGATAGGGTGACATTAAAAAAAAAGTTGCGGTCACTTCCGGTCAAACAGGTTGTTGAAAAAAATTGTCGTTAAGTTCGTAAAGTGCGCTACCATTCATTATATACCCCCTGTGAATTTCAAAATTTTATCTCTTCAAATAAAAGAACTACGGGTTGCTACATGTCTCCTGTATCACCCGGTATATTATTATGTAAAATTATGTTAATTGAATACATCAGGGTGTTCGATTTTGAAATCAAAAAAAGGGTTTCTTTTCAACTCATTCAACAAAATGGCATTAGCAAATGCCAAATAGAACATTCAGAAATCTGTCCAAATTGAAAATGTATTTCTTGAAACAGTCGGTTAGTTACAGTGCTCTCGTACCTAGCCACCTAATAGGTATCTGTTCCATTTCCCTTCAGTTTATTCTTGATTTTTCTAGATTCAAATCACTTGGATAATTAATAATTTATTGAATTCTAATGAAAAACCTATCGTGATAAATGATATTCACCGTCAGAAATGGAAGAATATCAAAATTATTGAGCATATAAGTTACCTACTCCAATTCCCGATTTTACTTTGGAAATATAATGACGAACTATTATTACCTTTTTTTCCAGGTCAATGGGGATTCACTGAATGCTCGATATTATTCTCAATCAATTTTATATATCTGCATTATATGTTGTTTGGCATTTGAAACATGCCAAAGTTTATAACATCAGGTATTTCATTCTATATAGTGACACCATGACCTTGAATGTTTCTGTTGACTCGGGTTTGAAGTACACCAGGTTATTGATTCTAATTTCACCTATGTCAACGCACTGTTTATCTGAGATTTTCAACACACTGATTCTTATTCTCTCATATCATTCAATTTGTGAATAATTCGCGTTTTTATAAATCATAATTCTCCTAGGTACACCTATAGATTCGAACTCATTCAAATAGTGAAATTACTAATATATGAGAATGATATTTCATATTTTGCATAGATAGAAATACAATGATATATCTCTTTCATATGGATTGAAGACATCGATCAGAAATATACCAGTGTGACAAAGAAGAATGAACAAAGAATTTAAAATATCTCGAAATTTTCTTGTTCTCGTTAGTTAGTATATTCTTACCAAATTCTGAAAATCATTTGATATATAAATATGAAACTAGGTCTGACAGCTGATTTTCTCAGAACTAAAGAGTTTTCCAAACAAATGAGAAAGGTGTTGAAATCCTATATATATATCTATGTTATTCTGATGAGACAAAAATAATTCATGGATATCACCTCTCAAATAAACGTATGTTTAGGTGCCCCTGATTTGTTTATTATAGTGATATATCATGAGAACGTTAAAGATATCATCTCCGATCTTTCGGAATAAAGCAATATCAAAGAACTATATCTAATAATTCAGAATTCTGTATTTTGTTTGAAAGTTCATAACTGTTTATGCCTGACAAAAAATGCAATTTTCTTGAGTTGACTTACAAGAAGTATTGAAAGTGTAGACTACTACTCGTATTGTTGAATAAAATACTTGATGATGGTCAAGAAATGCTCGAAACGTAAACTAAACATATCGTGTTGTGCACTGTCGAATTCAGAATGGGAAGAGTTCAGGAAAATCATAACCGTATTTCGAAAATAATGTTGATGATGATAGCTCGAAAACGGAACGTCTAACAAAAACTGAAAATTTTATCTTGCATTGAGACTTTATGGAGGAAGATTCACCATTTCCGCTGTGAGTTCAACATTTATTCCAGAAATTAATAAAGCTGAGAATTCGGAAACTCAAAATCGTTAACTGATAAAATATCATTGATTTTTAGGCGACATGTTTTTTTCTGTTTATCCTTCAATATCTTCTGTCTAAAAGATTTGTTTCCCTTATTATACCCTTCATTTCCATATTTTAACTTATAAAGTATAGTGTATACAGTGTGATTCACAGAAAGTTATACCAAAAGAAAACTCACACCAGTACATATTTGAAAATACACTGGATAATGTCGATATACAAGGTGTCCCAGAACAACGTTCCATATTTTCTACAGGGTGAACTAGAGACCAAAATAGGCCGATTGAAATATCTCTAGGAAAATGGAAGGTAAAGCCGAGAGAGGGCGATAAAGCACAATTTTCTTTCCAGATTTTCTTCAATATTTCGAAATCCTTGAGAGGTATTGCTCTGAAATTTGTAGACTGACCTAATATAGTGGATGTGCATGGAAAACATATCAATAATTATACAGGGCGTTAGGTTTTTCGCATTTCCTTGGACAAAAATTGGAGTAACTTCTTTTGGAGTATGGCACTGACCACATTTCGATATTTTGATGAATGACAAAATACTCATCTCACTTTTTATCAACCGCAGTGTTTTCATATTTTTTTTTTGGTTCTCGAGATATCAAACAAAATTCATTTTGGTGCTCTTCTATACTTGTTTATGATAATAAACAAAAATCATGATTATGAACTACTTTAGCATGATGATAATGTTGTTTGCCATCTTCCTTATTCATTTTTACTGGAAAAAAGTTTTTCTACCTGAAATTCTGAACTGAAATTTGAAAAGGACAAGGTCCCAAATCACCGAGGCATGGGTTCGAATCCCAGTTAGGCCATCCAGTGCTGGGTCCAACGAGGAAATTCAATTGAAAATAAACAAAAAATATGATAATGAGCTTGCGAATTGGTGAACATGATTATTGTGGTCAATAACTGAACACAAATGAGGTAGAAATGAGCAAGACATGATAATTTTAACATTTTTAACATATCATAAACGAGTTGTATGGAGTAGCACCAAAATCAACTTTGTTATTCATCTCGAAAAACAAGGAAAATTATAAAAAAATTGCAATTAGAAAAAAGTGATATTATTGATTTTATAATTTTTTGAATTATAAAAATGTGATTAGTGCCGTACTCCAAAAAATTACATCAATTTTTAACAAAGAGATTGCGTATGTATATTGATTGAATTGGCAGGACATGTTTTCCATGCACATTCACTATAGTAAATTGCTGACGAATGTCAGATTTCATAAATTAATTTTTCCCTCATGGGAAAGAGTGAGTACTTTTTTCACGATATATATCACATATACAAGGTGTTTTTGAAGAGAATGCACATATCCAACACATTAATATGATACAGTCTAAGGAATATTCCCATGATATTAGATTTTTCCTAATTCTTCTAGTTAATGAGAAATGTCATCCCAAAAATTGAATAAAATAAAAACAGAGGTGACGTCAGATTTGCAACAGTGTAAAACTTTGGGTGGAAAAAGGGGTCAAACCCCAAATTTTATTTTGATCCCTAAATTTTTTCATTAGTGCCATTCGATAGTACACGTCGCGCTTTCTCAGTGTTCGAAATATTTGCACTTATTGTAATGCCACCCTGTATAGTTCAGAATAATGAGCCAATAACACCGTCTCCAAGAAAGAACTGCAAGTCCTTCCACCTTCCATTCGACTTCGTGGTTACGTAAATCAATAAACAACCACTAAATTCGCAATTTTTCAGAATCAAATCACAGAATTAGACTGACAGATATTTGATTTGATTGCAACGCAAGTGCCATTCCTGTTGAAAACTTCAAATTACACGTCGATAATTTTCTGATTTCAATATAATGTATTATCTCCCCAATATCATTCGATATACTTTCTGTCACAGAAAAAAATTGTGTATTATACACGGGAAAAATTTTAGATTTCAGCTCACGGTTTTTTGTTTGACAACACAACCTGTGGCTAAAATGTACTACTTCTTCCCCTTGTATACAGGTGTATCTAAATAACACCGAAAACATTCAAGGGGTTATTGCTTTTGATATTCTAGCGAATGAAGTTCATATAAACATGTATCCTAACTTGCTCCGTTTTTGAGATACAGGATGTCGAAGTTGGAAGTAGCAATTGTTTGTATTTTTGAACTTCCTGAATGAGCTTTCATGGTGCCAAAATTCACTATTGTTGGAGACTGAGGAAGCCCTTAAATTTCGAAATGATTGTGATTTGGGTTATTGAGTAATCTCAATGGTAGTCTTGAAAACACCTACAGTAAAATTTTGAGTCAAATCGAATTTTTATTCTCTCCAAAAATAAGCTAGTTACAAAAATTACACAAAGGGTAAAAAAGTTGTTATTTCAATAGTTCAATCTAATAAAAATATGAAACTCAGAAGAACCCGTGGAGTACAATGACATTCACCATAAATATCGATAAATTTTGTCACTGTGACGCCACTGGAAATATTATTCCGAATCTTATTGCACCAGAAGAAGCTCCATATAACTATTAACAAACCACAACGTTTCATCGAAATTGATGGCAAGACAATTGATTGATTAAATAAAAAACGATTTTTCATGGAAATATTGATACCCTGTATCTCGAAAACGAATCAAGTTAGGAAACATGTCCACATGAACTTTATTTCTTGATATATCACAAGGAATCGGCCCTTGAATTTTGTCGGTGTTATTCAGATACACCCTGTTTAATAAAAACCTATTGTTCGTGTTTATGATGGTTTCAGGCAGAATCCGAGAACCGGCAACTATGTAAAAAAAATGAGAGATTGTTAAGGTTCCTGACCAATGAACTCAATATAAACAACTCCTGACTGAAATTTGAAGTCATGTTATAATTCTGGGATCATAGTAATCCGACACTTCTGAATACAGTGGTGTACTCAAATTTTCACCTACATGAAATAACATTAAAATCATTATTTTGTGAATTTGCACTACTGTTTATGTGCCTTCTGCTGAAGGAGGATATTTGGATTTAGTTGTGATGTGGATTTTATAAGTTTATTGCTTCTTTCTTGAGTGATTCACACTATATACAGGGTGTCCGCTAAAAGGAGGTCAATCCATTAACAATATATTCCTTGAACAAAAACAATCTGAGTTTATAGATACCATTTTTCATCTTAGCCCTTCATATTCGATATACAGGGTGTCTAAGTTGGAAATTGAAAACAGTTTTTTTCTAATTACTCGCGTATTTAATAAGATATCAATCTCAAAATTGGTACATTACTTCAGCACGAAGAGTTACATCGTGTGAGGAAAACAAAACAAAAAATAACTGTCAAATATTCAAAATACTGGGGGTCAAGTACACACTTACCCCCATATTTTTTTTGTACGTGCGCTAATGACTTCTTATCTATTTTTTTTCAAGTGTACAATCATTTCTGAGAATTTTCTGTGTCTTTATTTCGTCGAAATTGGAAGAGGGCATAACTTTTTACGTACGAAAAAGTAAATATGGAAATACCGGGTGCTCAGAGCGAATGAATCAAAATAATTTTCACGAATGAAAAATTGATAGAAATTCAACGATATAACCTCCAATTTTTTGAATACACATGCGAGCCCTTTTGATCAAAGAAAATCTTAGCCTTCGAAAAATATGTGGTTATGCACAAAATCTGTCATACATCCATAGACAATCCTGATCGGCTATTTCTTTCATAAAGTAGCTATTAAAATCATGAATATCATAATTTCACCAAACATTTTTTTTTTCAATTTTTTCCGATTTTATTTCCCGTTCGTTCGCGCCCTACATCCCATACGGTGGGGAAGAGGCTCGAAAAT